GTAATACCTCATTTATATTTTGTGGTATATTGTATAACCTTGCTATAAACTGTTTTCTGTTTTCAAGTATCTCTTTTTTATTTGATCCTGGAATAATATGTACTAAAAGTTCATTTGTGAGAGAGATAATCCAAGTTTCGATCTCTTGTACAAAGCTACTTCCTTTTTCAAAAGATATTTCTGCTCTCATTTTTTCATATCTTTCTTTTAACATTTCAATGTTTTTAATATGACTCAAGTGTTTAACTGCAAAGAAGACTTATGATCTTGATATATGGTAGAGTATATCCTATACAGTAATAGTCTCTTCTTTGTTTAGATAGGATTCTCTCTCGTTAGCTATGCCATTAGTTCTACTGAAAACTTCTTCTTTATTTGAGAGAGTTTCTTGTTCATACATTCTTTTTTTCCTTTATCTTTTGTGGATACTACTCTTTCTTCTTCTACTTGAGCATAAACTATTTCCTTTCTTTTTTTGCTTGCACTACTTGTTGAACATTCCTCCATTTCAATTTGATCATACTAGATAAACCTCTTCTTTAGTATTTCTTCGAGTTCTTTCTTTGCTTAGATTTTTCTTCCTTCTTTTTCTTTTTCTTTGTTTTGTATAGTTTTTCCTTTCTTTAGACTTTCTTTTTCGACCTTTTCCTCGAGTATTAGGTTTATCTAGTCAAATTTATCCTTCTTTTTCTCTAGTCTTAACTTAGCTTCCTTATACCCTTTTTTACAATCAAAGTAAATAATACACTATTAGTTTCTATTCGCAAATTTTTCTTGGATCACCTTGATATGTTTGTTTCTTCTTAGAGACTATCTTATTGATTTTTCTCTTTGCTCTACATTATCTCTCAGGATCTTAACTGCTACTACCTTTGCTTTGATCTCTCCTTTGTCTTTGCACGCTTCTGGGTTAGGTGCTCATAAACTACAGTCTAAAGATATACTGCTATGTTTTGCTTTTCCTATCTCTACTAGTTGTTCTAATTTATCTTCTACTTCATTTTACGTAGATGTATTTCTATGCTATTTTCTAATAATTGGATATCTTCCATAATTTCTGGTACTTTTACTCTTTCTGCTTCTCATTCGTTGCTATTTACCTTTTCTTGATATTGCATATTCTGTTTTATATTTTTGCATGATTCTAGTTCTTTATCTTTTTCTGCTTCTGTAACCATTATCTCTTCAATTTTTATTTCTATTTCTTGTGTTGTCTCGTTTGCTTTTTCTAGTTACATAATTGTTACTTCTTACTTTCTTTCTAAAACTTCTTTGATTTTGTCTATGTCTTTTGTAAAAGCAGCTCTTTCTAGTACAACATGCTACTGTTTTGCCAAAGTAATGATACTCTTGTTAACATTCATTACTTTTGTAACCATTTCATCAAGATGATTTACTAGACCTAATACCGATACATTACCTTCTTGAATAATTTTCCTACTATACTCTTTAGTTATTTTCTTAATGAAGTGCTTAGAGCTTTCTGTGTTCCACATGTTATTTTAATCTTGTTTTGTACACTCTAGTTTCTTCTATCTTTGATTTGTTTTTTTTGAGTAACTTTATCTTTTTGACCAAATTCTCTGAGTTTTTTCCTGATTACCTGTAATTTTTCTGGTTTTCATTATATATAGATTCTTTCTATTAGCTGACACATGATATATCTTGTTAGTTCCTAAATCATGCTTGTTTGTTTATACTGTTTCTATGTATTTGTGTTACAATAACTAATCTGCAATTCAAGGTGATTCCAAATCCCCAAATTTCTAAGAAAAAAATTTTTTCGTCAAATTTTTCTGTTCCAAATTTTGTGATAGCCTTTCTAGTTATTTTTTGCTTTTATTCTTTTAATTCAATATATGTATTTTTTGGTCTTCTTTCTTTTTTCTTAATACTATAGGTACTGTTTCTTAATAGCTTTTCTGAGTTATCTTGGTTTTTCTCTTAGCTCTGAATTTGGTCAAAATGATCTGCAGAAAGAGTTTTTTGAGTTTTGTCTTGCTATATCTGTTACTAGACTTCTATTTATTTGTTTATATTTATTAATTTATTATATTATTTAACTAATATTAATTTACTATTTATATATTTACATGTTATTAGTTAAATAGCTATCAAAAAAATAAGATTCACTTGTTCTAGATAATATAACAAAGTTTGGATTATACAAAGTTAATTTTTTATTTTGCATTATCTACTGATCTCTTTTTTTAATAATTTTTTTTTTAAAAAAAATTGTCTCAATAAACCAATAGAGAACTATTTGACTATTAACACAGTTTCTAATTTTATATTATACAGAGCAAAAAATTAATATTGTAGCCTTAAATATTAAAATCTATAATAAATTTAAACAAAAAATATAATAGACTAACTGAAATTAAAAACTATATAATACAAAATATAAAATCAATATTGTATGATCTAATACTAAATTAGAAATTTTCTTGACCTTTTTTTTATATATAATAACATACTAAGAATAAATTATTACAAAGAAAGTGACTTTATTAATGCTTTTGTAATAGAAATATTTTTAGCAAAAATATTCATAACTAATTTACTTTAATCTACTAATTACCTATAGTATATAATATATAGTTATATTTGGATATTTCATAAGTCTCTATATTCAAACTCTTTTTTTTTAAGTCATCCTAGGATCACTTAAAAAAAAAAAGGTTTGTATATAAAAACTTATGAAATGCTAAGTATACTTTGTATATTTCAGTAGAAAGTAATTAAATATCTTTGCTTTTGTATAGTTTGAAAAGTACTACAGTATCTGTTAAAAAAAAAAATTATACAATTAGCTGTTAAAAGTTAAAAGTTGTCACCTGATATTTGTTTATATTTCTAACCAATCAAAATTAATATGTGATTATATCGAGGAGGTTCCATGTTCTTGAAACTTCCTTATATAATTATAAACTGTAAAAAATTACAAATATGTGATCTTAAATATCAAACTAATAAAATCTGCTTGGCAATATAAACCATCTTAATAATAATAATAATAATAATAAAACTAATCAAATTTTAGAATTAAATATAATATAAATTTAAACCAAATAATTTTAGTAGGTTTAATACAAAATAAAATAGTTCTAAGCTAAAAATAAAATCTCAAGAAGAAATAATTTAAATTTGGTGTAACCTAAACTAAATTAGATATCGATATATCTGATATATACTAATTTTTTAAAACTAATCTGCTATATTGAAAGTGCTTTTAATAGTACGTAACATTATCGTTAAGCTTAGCTTTTTTAACAAATATATTATACAGTATATAGAAATTTGACTATCTTAAAAATAAAAAAATTCTTTACTATCAGAGAGTCACATTGTGGATTTGTGTAAAAAGCATAACGATAAATAAATTAATTTATGATAGAATAAAATCTTTTTGCTCTCTTAATTTGGAAATTTATATTAGATACCTAAGGCCAGTGTTGTACGTGGACAGCCTTTGGACAAGATTTTGGACAAAAAAATAAAATGAATTTACTCAAAATTTTATAAAGATAACCTATTCAAATCTTTTAAATAAAAATATTTAGAATTAAACAAAAAGTATAATCATATAATTTTTATTTGTATTACTAAAATCTTTAAGGCTATAGACAGCTTGGACACTTTGTACATTTGGACGTTGGACATGTCTAAAAAAGCTTTGGACATACCAAAATGTACATCACTGCCTAAGGCCGTTTGAATTTAAAGGTTCGTTTAACGTTCCTTTTTTCATATTTGCTTGAAGGGAGGAAAATTAAACAAATAATTAAACAGATCCAAATTAGGTTCAAATTAGGTTCAAATTGTACCTGATTTGGGTTCATTTATACCCGTTTTTTTTTCATATTTTTATACTCGTTTTCTATTGGCTTGTTTAATGTCGGGGGGAGCTCCAGTGGTAGGTGGGGAGACGTTAAACGAACCTTTAAATTCAAACGGCCTAACGTTAAAACTAAATTAAGACCTTTCAAGGTTAGCGTTCAATTAAAAGTTTATGTATTACCATGGGAAAGATCTTGTGCCACTAATATTAATTAGGTGGAAAACCTGCAATCAGACGATTATGAAAGGATAAATAAATAATTTAGTTTATTATTTACACAGCTGCATTGCGTTATAAATGACTTTACTCATTGAACTATTTAATTTTTGATGATATTAGAAAAACCATTTTGAGAGTTAATAATGATTTTTCATTCATCCTCTCGAAAAACAATACACCCTTTAGACTTGGATATTGAAGAACATCCAAATCTATTCAAGAGAACAGCGTATATTTGTCGGAGGACAATGTTTACTACATTACGCGGAGTTCGCAAAATAAGGAATCGAATTATAATAGTGATACTTTTTTTGCTGGTTACTTTATATTTATTTGGGTCTTCGATTAACTTACACTTCATAATGATGAAGTACAAACTTTTTAATAATTTATATGATCTCGGTTTACTATCTTGTTCTCTGAGAAAGATGCCAACTCTATATATGATTGAGACACAAAAGATGTTAGTAGTCTGGGAAGCGAATTGTGCACTTAAAGATGTTAGAATTCGGTGGTACGAAAACCGTCCCGATGATAATATAGGTATATTACTTGGCACGTCGAATATCCTTATCCCTTTAAAGTTAGATGATTATCATCATGTATATAAAGCTATTATAGGGCCATTCGAAAATATATCTAATTATGAATATGAAATAATTCATAAAGAAAATGAACAAAAGCCTACAGCCATCATTGCTTCACATTCCTTTCAATTTTTTCCTGTTTTACCTGACAATTCTAATTCAAGTGTTTATCCTATAAAAATAGTGGCATTTTCTGATAATCAATTTGGCCTCACCGTTTTTAATCGTCTTGTGAAATCAGCTTTTCAGCGTCATACGCCAAATTTTGTTCTTCATGCGGGAGATGCTGTGCAAGATTATAAGAACCTTCAACAATGGCAAACTGATTTTTATGACCCCTTGACAAACTATCATTTATCACAACAAGCTCCTGTTATTTATGCGCACGGAAATCACGATTATGATAAACATAGTGTATATGCTTATACCACTGACATGCCTTGGTATTCATTTACGATAGCAAATACACGATGGATTGTGTTAGACAGTAATATAGATGACATTGAGCAGGATAAATGGCTTATTCGAGAACTTTCTTCTTCAGAAACAAAAAATGCAGAGTTTCGGATTGTAGTCGTGCACATTCCACCTTTTGTCGAATTTTGGGAACCTGGAGCGTGGCATGACAAAAATGAAAAGCATTGGGGCGAATTTGTACGCACAAGATTTGTTCCTTTATTTCGTACATACGGTGTAGATTTAGTAATAAGTGGGCACCAGCATAATTATCAACGTGGACAATCAGACGGAATAGTATACGCAATTATTGGCGGATCTGGAGGCGAGTTGGATCTTGAAAATGTAGAGGATTGGAAAATGTACGTGACAACGAAAAAAACGCATCATTATGTCTTGATGGAGATATGGTCAGATAAGATCATTTGGGTTGTATATGACCTTAATGGTTCCGTGATCGATAAATTTGAAATGGGCAATAGAGTTATTTTTTCATCACATTCATAAATGCAAGTCGTATCCGCTGATTTGAGGAATTGGGCCTATAATTGGTCTCCCCAAAATATCTACTGATCTGCAAATAATCACATGTTGATTGGGCGATTTTACCCCAAATCACATGTCAAATTTGTTGTCGCTCCTAAAAATTATAATAAAATATAAGTCAAACCCATTGCCTCACCCAAAAACCCATTGGTTTTTTAGGAAAGAATAGAAATTAATAAAAATGTAAGAGGAATCAATTATATTAAATTTTTAAAATTAAGTTTATAAACGAGTTTATAAGGTTTAACTTTTTAGTTCAATATTTTTTAGGTTTTAGGTTTAGCAGCATATTTTGTTTATATTTCACGATTTTATGATGTATACTTTAAGGGTATGAGATACGTAGATCATTTTTTATATGAATTGATAGTATTTTTTTTTTTTTATATAGTAACCAAAATTTTGCTTCTAATAAAACTTTTTTAATTTTAATTAAAATTTATAAATTTTTTT